AAAAGTAAGTGGCCGAAGGCGTTCCACCAGTGTAAAATATACCTCGCAAAACTTTCCGAAGAGAACAAAATGTGCCGACAATATGCAAACGTCACAAAGAAGTATTGACACAGCAGATCACCACGCTATCTATGATACCGATATATCTCCTTGGTTAAACAGCTATATTAATAATACTATTTTGATATTAATAGTAATAATAATGTCGAGCACGTGGACATTCAGGCCACATGACTCTGCACAGGTAGCCTTCCCGCCTCGGATCGTTTCAGATTTTTCCCATCAGCGAGTCTAAACGAAAGAACAGAAATCCTCCTTACTAAATTAGTTTTTGCCGTTTAGTTTAGTAGTAGTAAAATAACGTAATAGCAATTCGGCACGAAAAACCTCCAGCAACTTCGTTTATGGTCAGGCTGTCATCAGAATAAGTGATTCCTTACCTACCTTTTTCAACCAACGCTAAATATAATCCCGTTGAGTTGCTTTGACGTGCAGTTATCGTATAAGTAAGTTGCCTTCCATATCCATTAGAGTAGTATGTAGAGTAGATGGCTATAGAGGTACTATATCCTTGGGTGTAATTTTGCACTAGAGAGGCTCAGATCACCTGCCGACGGCCTTTACCTCTCCAATACTCAACAACTGTAATGCTGTGAGGTTTGTACACCTTTATGGTTGCACTATGTCTGCAGAGATCACAGCATCCCTGGCGCGCCGCACGTGTTACGGTCAACTTAGGTGGAGAGGGTATGGGCCTTTGCGAGAAGGAACGAGCTGCTTAACGTTGGGGGAGAGACAGCCTATGTGGAGGAGGGACACCCTCAACACACAGAATCATTCAACGGTTTAATTCCCTTTTCGAAAGTAATAGGACGCCTCCAAGCCTAAAGAAACCGAAGAGGTTATTATTGCGGTAATTAAAATAGTGGTATTAGTTGTGACATTTGTATTCGTCAATAGGTACGAAAGAAGAAACAACTACCAATTAACCAAAAGAATTCAGCCAAGGCCAATCAGGTGATGTCGCTTGGCACCAATCGATGCATGTTAGCTATTTTCTAAACAATTATATAGGAGAATCGAAAGACCAAGTTGTTCTATTGATAGCAAGATTCCCAAGAAAGGCACGAGTAGTGTCGAATCAGTACCACCGATAGTGATAATAATAATAACAACAACTTACCAGATCGAAGTAGACACTTTTTGTCACTTTTCGGAAACCGCTGGCAACAGTCTGAAACTATTTTAGTTTCAATTGTCGTTTCAGAGTGTAGGTTATCTACGTTTGCTTTTATAATTCAAAGCTGTAAAAATCTCGAAATGTCGACTTTAAAGAAAAGTCGGTGGGGGGTAGATATAAAGTGGACAGACTTATAATCGAACTAAATAAAGACATTTATGGCTCCGCATCATCTGTTTGTTTAGAACAAATCTAAATTATCGTAACTTTAGACATGCTAAGTAAAAAAAAAACTTGTTAAAAGAACTGGCCGCCGAGACGAGGCTCCTTGTCGACTATTTCACCGATCCATTGCAAACTGATCTAACTGCACATAAATATCAACACGTTTTGTTGAAAAATTTCTTGATAGGCTTTACAGATTACTAGAAGTCTTTCATATGCAACAAAATCAGTAGGGTCCGCCGTAGAACAGCACATCGTATCAATTCTAGAAGTAGTTTTCATTCTGCAACTTTAAATGTAATAAAGCCGGTCAATGCCACGATGAACACGAATGTCCATTAAAGCATCTACTAGTATCTAGTAGCCTCCTTTCAAATACAGCCTCACCCCTAAGGCTCTAGTTCCTCAGCGGTCTTGGTAGAAGCATAAATATTAAACGAATAATCACATGGCCATATTTGAACTCAGCTTTGTGCATATCGCGGAGCGCAATTTTTGGTGCCTCATCTTTACCCAGTTCACCTATCAAACGTTTTTAAGTAGAATGCACGTTTTCCCATTATCTCCGTTCGATACATGCGTAGATTGTTCCAAGGTATTTACATATTCACCTGTGCGAAGCTATTTAATGGACTGAATCATCACGCGCCATTAGCAGACGAAATTAGTAAACACTTGCGTTAAACTGTTAGTTTCATAAGCTTCATAACAGCCTAATATGTTTAGAGACAGCCTTAAAAATCAGCGCCTTGTCGGCTCAATTTGGGATTTCTCGAAGTTTTACGAATTCATCTCTACGGTGAACTGAATCCAGAGTAGACGCGTGTCATGTACCCTAAGAACAACTTGCACACCGTTTCAATAGACGGCACCAGGCTCAAACGATGCCGTTTAATAAAGAGAATCGATATGTGCTGCCAGATCTTTCGAATATACATCGATATACGGCAGATGTGATTATCTAATATCCTATATATATATATATATATATATATAATTTAATATAAGAACACATCTAATATACAATAAAATATTATAATTCAATTTTTTTTATCACGATACCTCCCCAGCTGCTTCCCAAAGGCTGTCAACAATTTGTAAATGATAAATGGCACAACGCTTTTTATTACTTTTACTTATGGCACCGATAGGACGTTTATATATATATATATATATATATATATATATATAGGGTTGTTGGTATTTTTTACACCAATATTCAAAGAAATATTTTTTGTTACATTTTAAAATAATAACACTAAACTAAATATGCGTCATTTGAATTCATGACCTTCTGCCATCTTTCTAAAAACCCCATAGTTCCACCATTGTATAACTCTGTGGCTTTTTGCCGAAAAAATTGTGACAAGTTACTTTTATGTTCCACTATTAAAACTAAGTGAATTCCATTAAGGAAGCTGTGCAAAAACTGAAACAGATGGTGATAGTCTGACGCTGATCCGCGCTGCACGGAGGTTCCATTAACATTTTCCATTTGTACTCTCTCAACTTTTGCCAGATAGCTAAAGATGCATGTTGGTTCATATTGCTGTGATGGAAGACCACCCCTTTTTTACTCGTTAGGTTCTGGTCGGTTTTTTTCAATGTCTTATGGTTATTGACAGTAGAAGTCCGGCTGGTCATTTTACCATGCGGCAGTAACTCATAATGCACGATGTTTATCTAATTCCATCGAACGCATAGAATCACCTCCTTTGGCGCCAATCTGTACTTGACGCCACAGATTGTAAAGTACATTTTTTAATTTTTTTTATGTGTCCATTATTGTTATATGCAATCTATTATTCATCACTCGTGATTTACCGCTTAAAAAATGGCCCGATTTCGTCGCCTTTCAGTAGAGTTTCGCAGATGGAAATATGATCGAGTAGACTGAGTTAATCGCGTGGGACCCGAAGGCTTTTCCATAGCCAGCACATCAAACAGCTCAAAGCTGTTTCTTATCTAGCTTTTGCAGTAACTTTATAGGTGTATTTCTTAATAGGTCGACCACTGCAAGAAGCATTTTCCACATCGAAATTATCCAAATTTCGAAATCGAAGAGCAACAAAATCATTTTTGGCCTGTTTCTTTGAAAAATGCAAATTTTTCACGGGCCTGAACCGTTCTCGTAACTCTATCGTAGTAAAATGCAAAAATATCGCGAATTTTTACTTCTCTTCAGGCACTTGTTTTTCTGAACTGTGAAAGAAGATTCAATAGTGTTAGCGCATTTACTACTATCCGATACCAACTTTCAAATAATACCAACGCCAATTACGCAATCCTACAGACAGTTCTCTTAGTGAGGCCATAACAGAAGAGTCAATAACCTTTCGACAACTTAATATGTATATAACAGATATTTCAATCGTATTTCAGATGCTTTGAATATGCGAGCGGCGCGAAACTAAGTTCTGTTTTAAAATTGGTGAACTTTTCCCTTCTGCTAGTGGACGGTGCTCTGGTATTGTAATATAGCCGTACTACCCTAAACCGCTACATGCACGACGACAACGAATCGAACCTCCGTGAACCCAGTATCGATGCTCCATAAAGGGGGTCATCATTAAACAGGTACAGCACTGGACGTATCGTGCATAGATGAGACACCAAAAGCGACACTGACGAAATGGATTCATCGCGATACAGCGGCACAGCCTTACTCATGCATAGAAAAGTTATGTTTTTGTAGATTTTTGGCGTACGTGTACACTATCACGTGGCCACTGCTATTAGCGCACGTACGTTTACTTTGATAGGAACTGTTGAAGTGTTACATGAGCCCTACGCATTTTCAACTTTGTCTTGATTATATTTCTTCGACTGGTGTCAGGAAATTTTATCATCATGTAAAATTTATTGTTATACATGGAAAGGTACGCTTTGTGGGACACGTCTGTTTACAACGTCACGTATATCAACTAATATGTGTCCCATTCTAAAAATGGAAACGTTTTTGTCTATGATTATCCTGTTTTTCCTGTTTCTTAAGTATTATACTGTTACATGTCTTATATCTCTTTATGATTATCAGTTCAGATTATTCTGAACAGATCGCCGTACCGAAACGAGATATTTTGGAAAATGTAAGTACCTGCAACTTGTTGTCACAATTCGCAACCTGCACCAAATGCAGATGTGAGATTAGTTGAATCCTTTTTCCTTAAATCCTACTGATAAGCCTAGGCACTGATTTTTAAAAACTGAATGGAATTATTTTATCATAGATCGACAATAAAAGAGGATGTACAAAACAGACCATATTTAAATTTGTATACTCAGTAAATATACGAGTCCAGTAAAGAAAAATATTATAGTACAAAAGGTACAATTACAAAGTCTAAAACTAATTAGACTTTGTATTCAATTTAACCAGGAAAAAAACTGTTATCATTTCGGGATATTTGACTTTTTTTTTTTTATAAAAATCACCTCATAATGGCTAAAGCGTGTCGGGTAAATATGGACAGTAAGTTACTCTTTCTAAAATGGAATAGATTAGTTCAAATTCTTATTATCAAATTATTTAATAAGCTAACAATATATCAGCCATATAATTTAAGCCATATATTTCTTTACATCCTACCAAAAACGCACTTTTTGTTTACTCCCTATATCGCACTCTTCTTTCAGTCCTTTTTTTATTTACCTCCAAAACATACCGTTAAGTGTTCAAACTGAAGTTTGCCAATAGAAGTGATTATGATTTCTAATGATAATGCAGCTACACTAATCTGGTCGATGCGTTGAAACGCTACAACGATTTAATAGGGGTTAAGAATTTTGTTTTTGTTCAAGTGATGCGTTTTCCAATAAGAAAAAAGAATCTCACATCAGAGAAACCTCACGCAAACAAGTTGACCTATATGCTCTACATAATTACTTCAGACCTGTTTATTTATTTAAACTTATAGGGCATAAAAATTGAAGCTGCGCCGATAGTAAAGGCACAGTTTCTTTAGGGCTGCGGTTGGCTTCTATTGACAGCGACCGACACCTATATGCGCCAGTCGTCGTAATTTGTTGTCTTTCTATTTACTGTTCATCTGCCACTCCATATTTGACTTCGGCCGAACGAGCGATACGAAGAAGGGTTTGGGCATGTCGAGAAGACCTTCTGACTTCGCGGAGACCTGGTAAAGGGATGAAAAGCAAGACGACGTTCGGAAGACTATCTCGGCGTTTATTAGTTATTCCTCTGGAACACTAAGTAGAAATGATGTTTTCATTGCAGATCATCAGAACCATAACACCACTGGCCCCATGAACAGTTTCGTAATGTACATGGTCTTCCAATACACAAAAACAGAATGCAGTTCGTTGAGCTATCTTAGACCTTGCCGTCCTCATTGGACTATTCCTTGTGTCGGTTTATCTGTTACTTCCCTACCTACCTACCTACCTACCTACCTACCTACCTACCTACCTACCTACCTACCTACCTACCTACCTACCTACCTACCTACCTACAATAAAAACATGTATCACTGACAAGCATCAGCGCAAAAAGGCGTTATGCTCACATATAAGAATACTTGTGGAATTGGTTTGTTGCATGTATTTCTAAAACGGCAACTTCTAGCGAAAAAGGTGGGAGAGCATACATTATGGACAAGCTCGCGGCACTTGTGGTAACGATCAGAGATGTTTTAACTGCTACAACTTTGAATCTTTTTTTGTAGGGAAACGGGATCTTAAACGCACATTTTAGCCATATCTTTTTCATTCTGCACAAACAACGCTCCTACACCTTTCCTTTAAGGCTGATGTTTTTATATAAAATCCTTTTTTTTTACTAACAATCTGCTCGCTCCGCCTGAAATTATTATGGCTGAAACACCCTACAACAACAGCAGTTCCCTGCCAGCGCACAACATAGCTTCATACAGGATAGCATCGGCAGCAGCTCCATGCGCAGCGAATTGCTCGAAGCTATGTTCTATCAAACTATATATATTTAATCAAAATATACCTGGCTGTTTTTTGGCGTCTGTGAGGTCTTTGCATTTTGCTCTAGCGATGAAGTTATATACGATATAATCGTTGCATGCACGTGTGGACTCAGCCTCAGAATAGCGTATACATTTGTCTAGTTAAACGCGTTTCACCGACGTTCGATGACGGGGCCCAAGCACCGGGAGCATGCTTTTCTGAACAAGGGATCAAATATAGCCAATTAGAACTTATCATACCTGGAACTTACTTTCGAAGAAGCTCGAATTTAGGAATAGAAAACAAATAGCATATATAGGAAACCTTAACTCGTTCCAAATACGTTCAAAGATCGTGTAATGGCCCTAGCTAACGATGCAGAGATTTGCAAAGGGTGCGCTAATCGTTGATCGAAAGTTAAGTATTTTATTCAGCTGTTATATGTATTTGTTTGTTGAAACGAAGATACATCCTCCAGCCATTCTTGTATTCTTGGCGCCCATGGTAAAAAAGTATAAAATCTCGCTATATGAGGTCTCGAAAATAACGAGCTCACTAGTACCCTGGGTACTTCTTGGACCACATGTTGCGTATGATAACTAATTGGCCCCATGATTGTATCCATGTATATGCGACCAGTTTGGCGCGGCTTCTTCATTGTATATACACACCTTTTGCTTATAAACTCTCGCAGCGTATTGATCCACTTGGGCTTTAAAGGAACTAGTGGGGTTACCGACACGTCTATCTTCTGGGTTTGACGTTCGAAAGCGAAACAAATAAATCGTTTAGCATCGAATAGCAGTTCGTTAGCAGTTTAGGCCTAATCGCGTATTGCTAAGGATTAGGTTGTCTACATCGATCGTATGCCTGAGCGATGATTGTATTCTAGCGTGTACAGAAGGTTTATTCAAACTTTGCATAATCCGTTGAATGGAGTGTACCACGATCATTGGCATTGGCCATGATTACGGGGGTGTATTTGATCGACTAGGATTTTTTAAGCATACTTCAAAATTTCTTCACTCTAGTGATGTTCTCCGCATCTCCTTTTAGGCAGGTAAATGGTTGCTATATTTTTCAGTTCAGCTTCGTGAGCTGAGACAGCTAGATAGATTTACGTAATCTATTTTTTAATATAAATATAATAATATTTTCCTTATGTAGCTCAAGTAACCAGCTTTCATGGGCTCATAGCCGAAAGCAGTAACTTACAACAAGTGACCGAACTTTGTTTACTACTTGGCCCACTCGTTCTAGCGGAATGCCTTAACTGTACAGAAGGACGACGAATTATACTTTACTCACCAATTGGTCAATTCAATATCGCATATATTTTTGTTGAGAAATAAACATCTTCAGTATTATAGTGCTAATTAAATCACTGAATTGTACCGTATTATTTACAAGAACATCTGTAAGTCAAATAATTGGTTTTAAACGTATAAAAGTTATAGCAACAATAGTCTGTACATATTTTTTAACTTCGAGTAAATATACAATGGCTCAGCAATTCACTCGGAATTAAACAAGTTTATTGAAGCTTGTATTTGCACGGATCTTACAACTTTCGACTAGTTCTTAGCCCTCTAAGCTTATATTAGATGCCAACTTGAAGAACCCCGAAGAAATGTTTAATTTTTAAATCTACAGAATAGGTTTCCTTTTTCTAAAATGTAATCTATAGAAAAGCATTTACGCTTCAAATACCCATGACACAGCGAAAAGGACAACAAGCATAAGTTCTTTCAATAGAAGCGTTTTTAGGTATCAGCCATAGTTATCGTCCGTTAGAATGCAAGCCTGAGTTCGTTAAACAGAGAGAACTATACATTTTAAAGTTGTTTTATCGGGATTCGTTCCAATTTCATCGGCCGTATAAGTAAACATTCATTTCGAATGAGCTATACCTCTTTACACAGGACCTTTTCCAGTGTCTGGCTCTAAAATATACAACTCCAAGCTCCTGATTGAGCAACATTAAAGGTGAGCCTTCCAACTTTGACGCGAGTTCGCAGGAGGACACGTTTCCGAAACAAGAAGTTCGCGCAACACGTAAGCTTTGTTTATAACGCTGATTTGCACGGATGGCTGAACTGTTAAGATAAGGATTATCTCATGTTATACATGTTTGCTAATTTCTATTTGTTTTAGCAGTACATTTGGACGCGCTGAAGCGTTCTTCGAAACTAATTTAAAGCGACAATTGATGAAACAGCTCATTCGTAGATCGGGCCAGGTTTTGCCTTCGGATAACAAAAGGTCATTGTTGCCATAACATGTCCTGATCTTCTACAAGGCAGACAAAATTAATGGTCAGGCCAATAAATCAAAAAATTCTATCTGGAATCGTAGATAGTAATTTACGCCACAGATACTCTAGCGAACGATTGATAGGGTAGAAAAGGGGAATAACAAAACCTAGTAAAGGGATGACGGAAATAGGAACGCTAATGGTTATTTATATACAATAATGGATATAATTAATATGAATATAATCATTATGATGAAATTTTTCTAGATCCGTTTGTCCATGACAATGGTGTCAGAACACTCACTATTTAGACCTATAGACACTCAACGCAGCCGCAAACGGTTCGTGATGCTCAGACACTCATTAAAGCGCACACCTTTGTAGCTACTGATCTCCTTACATGTATTGGCAACGTGTGCTTTCACGTGTATCTCGAATATCGCCCAAGAACTTGGTCCTTCACATAACCTCGAAAGAAAAAGTCCATTGAGGTAGGGTCTGGCGCAATGCAACCTACCCTGTTATTCACTTATGGGCTGATTAAGAAATACACGTACAGATGGAATATAGTGCGAGTATGTACGCGCATACAATCCGTGTATCTCGGGTAGTTTACTTCCTTCATTTAGGGACCGTTTACGTGGTAGTAAACGGCAGCGAGCAGTTACGCGACGCTGCGGATAGCTAAATGTATTACAAGTCGGTATTTGCTTTTTTCGCCTATAGCTATCGATTAATATATTTATTTCTGTTTACACCATAACTGCAAGTCTGAAATTTAGTCTAAAATCAGAAATCGTTACGAACTTTAAGTCGAGAATCGAAGCAAGAGTAATAATAATAATTGTCCAATCGAAATGAAGCGAAAGTACCGTCGAGTCCGGGACTCTCAGTTTTCTCTTGTCGATTTATTTTTTCCATGTAAACTGTATGTTAGTGAACTCAATTTATCGCATAGGGGGCGTAGGTGATGTTATTTTCAGAGATGGCGCTGTGTCAAAATATGGACGTTAACAACTCTGGCAGGTTGGGCTGGGCTGGGGTAAAATGGGCTCCATCTTTTGTCAATTATCCGCATTGATTCTTTATAGAAACCTACTTTCAGTTACACTCCGCAAGTGTCAACTAAATGGCTATGCGAATAAATGAAGTTATCACATCTGAGGCTCCAAGAACCCAAGAGCAAGGAACCATATTATTTAAAAAAAGTCACTGTGTGATGTGACTTATGGAGCAAACTCTCGCTGGTCCTGTTTCCTTTAAAAATTATAATAGGATGGCAGCCTTCGTCGATGGCGAGGTACATCGTGGCATATTGTTTTATTTCTCGAAATAAAAACATATCGCGACGCAAACGAACAGTCCCAGGCCACCTGGCCTAGATGTGCGACGACGACGACGACACTGAACAGTTGTCCCGATTCCCTCTATAGTTCCGTGTTTAACAATTTGGAAAGCAAGGTCTAGAAACTAACGCTAAAAATAGTCCGTAGCTTAAAACACTATAATCGTGAAGTAACAGCGAATAATGCAGGACCGTCGTTCAGAAGTACAAAAGATGCATAAAGTTACGCTGGCAGTCCCTGAAGGGACACTTGGTGGACATTAGTCCCCATGAATAGTGCCGCTTAAGCCATCTGGACTGGACTAACGTCGCCTTAAAAAAAAACACGCCCAAAAAGTCGCTTCTGTTTTTCATTTCAGGGACACTTAATAAACTGGGCACTTTTAGACTACCCTATACCCGGGTAACAAAATATCTTGAAATGAACTACGTATACACCAAGAGGCTTTCTTTCTAAATGTGGCTCAAATGAAACAGTTTAAAAAATCTCTTTTCATAATACGCTGTACACTTCAGTTCATTATGCAGCTGAGACATAGCATCAAGTTGGTCGAATTGGTGATATCGTGCAACTTATGAGACGTCAGTTAAAGTTATTCGAACGAACGACAACAACGTCTGCGTTGTTATTGGAACAAGAGAAGAGGGCAGAGTCAGGTTATGAAGTTGCTAGGAGCTGTCACGCTTCAATAAAGAAACAGTTTGAAAAACGCGGCTTCGAGAAACGCGAAGCGTCGGGAACAAGCGTCTGCGTGGCGCCATTCGCTGGTCAAAGACTTGTTTGCAGCTCGTTCAACGATATAATCCTATTAATACGTTGACAAAATAATAGACGTTTGTGCTGTTCCATTGCCTATCTCCTTGAAGTCTAGTTGTCGTTGAGCTATCCATCTTGTACATGTGCATAGGGTCTAAGATATACCTATAACTAAATTCGTATCTAATGGTTGCAGTGACAAGTTTCGTTAACAATTTGTTGTTATCATAACATCGTCTTGCAGAAATGGTACAACTTGAAGAATCGGATAGTTTTGATTGAACTTTGTGCTCTATTTTGGATCGTTTATACCAATGGGCGCTACAGTGTAGTACCTTTCTAAAACACTAAAGGGTCTTAGTTGCTATATACGTCATTGTTTTTTCGAGATTTAGAGCAATGACTTTTTTGCATTTATATTCAGTTCATACGATCTGAACTCATATTTGTACCGCTAGCATTCATACCTTTTGTCCTCTTCATTTGTGCAAGCTGTCGTCGTTCGAAAGTACGTCTAGATAGTAATCTTTATTGTGAAATTGGCCAGAAATTAAAAAAAAAAACGGGCAAAATGCACCTTGCCAAAGACGGAACGTCTATATTTTACCCCTGACCATTTGTGTGTGGCCGTCGGTAGAATTTTCTTTATTGCCATGTTGAGAAAAAAATACCCTCCCTGGACATTTACAGACATGCAGACGGTAGCTCATACCAATACTGAAGGCTACTCAGACCCACTTCTGATGGATTATTTACTTTCCGATGCCATTGTCAGTGGTGTTTACTTCCGATGAAAGCAAGGGAATCCGGCATTGATGGCGGTATTGATACGGGGTCTTTAAGCAATTGATCGACGTCTTCC